AAGCCTCCATAAAAAAGCTACTGGAGCTAATAAATGAATTCAGCAAATTAGAAGGATACAAAGTTAACACACAAAAATCAGTTGCATTTCTATATACAATGAACTATCTGAAAATGAAATTACAAAAACAATTTCATTTACAATAGCAAAAAAAAGAATAAAATACTCAGCAATTAAACAAGGTGGTAAAGACTTGTACAATGAAAAGTATAAAACATTGCTGAAAGAAATAAAAGACAACAGAAATAAATGGTAACATACTGCATGTTCATGGATTGGAGGACTTAATATTATTAAAATGTCAATACTACCCAAAACAACCTACAGATTCAATGCAATCTCTATCAAAATCCCAATGATGTTTTTTGCAGAAATAGAAAAACCCATTCTAAAATTCATATGGAAACTCAAGGGGCCCCGAATAGCCAAAACGATCTGGAAAGGACAAACTGGATAGCTCACACTTCTTGATTTCAAAACTTACTACAAAGCTACTGTAATCAAAACAGTGTAGTTTTAACATAAAGACAGACACATAGACAAATGGAATAGAATATAAATAGCCCAGAAATAAACCCTCACTTACATGGTCAAATGATTTTTGGCAAAGGTGCCAAGACCATTCAATGAGAAAAGGACAGTCTTGTCAACAAATGGTGCTGGAGAAACTGGGTATCCACATGTAAAGAATGAAGTTGGGCCCTTACCTCACACCATAGACAAAAATTAACTCAAAATGGGTCAAAGACCTAAATATAAGACCTGAAACAATAAACTCTTAGAAAAAAATTGGACAAAACTTCACAGCATTGGATTTGGCAATGATTTCTTGGATATGACACCAAAGGCACGGGTAACAAAAGAAAGACAAATTAGACTTCATGAAAATTTTTTAAATTTTGTGCATCAAGAGACACTATCCACAGAGTTAAAAGGCAACACACAGAATGGGAGAAAATATTTGCAAATTATGTATCTAAGGGATTAATATGCAGAATATGCATAGAACATCTAAAACTCAACCAAAAAACAACCTAATTCAAGAACAGGCAAAGGACTTGGATATTCCTCCAAAGAAGATAAACAAATAGCCAATAAGCACAGGAAAAATGCTCAACATCACTCAGTCATTAAGGAAATGCAAATCAAAACCACAATGAGGTACTACCTTATACCCATTAGGATGGCTACGATCAAAAAAACTAAAAACAACAAATGTTGGTGATGAGGTGGATAAACTGGAAAATTTGTGCCTTTTTGGTGGGAATGTAAAATGGTTCAGCCACTGTGGAAAACAGTATAGCAGTTCCTCAAAATATTAGAACTAGAATTATTATATGATCCAACAATCCCACTCCCAGGTATATACCCCAAAGAATTTAAGGCAGGGGCTCAAACAGATATTTGTACACCTATGTTCACAGCAGTATTATTCACAATAGCTAAAACATGGAAGCAACTAAGTGTCCACAGCTGATGAATGGATAAGCAAAATGTCGTATACACATACAATGGAATATTATTCAGCCTTAAAAAGAAAGTAAATTCTCCAAATGCTACAACATGGATGAACATTGAGGACATTTCGCTAAGTGAAATAAGCCAGTCATGAAAGACAAATACTGTACGATTCCACTTGTATGAGGTACTCAGAGGAGTCAAATTCATAAAGACAGAAATTGCAATGGTGGTCCTAGGGTGGGAAGAGCGAAGAATGGGGAGTTATTGTTTAAAAAGTATAGAGCTTCAGTTTTACAAGATGAAAAGAAATATGGTGATGAATTGTGACAATGGTTGCACAACAACGTGTATGTATTTAATACCACTGAACCGTACAGTTAAAAATGTTTACGGCAGTAAATTTGATGTTACATGTATTTCGCCACAATAAAAAAAAAAAAAAAACACTAAAAACTCACTATTCTTACTGAGGTTCAGCCATTTTTCTTGCATAAATGCTTCCTGAATTGCCGCAAGCCTTTGGTTAATTTCCAGAGTTTGGAAAAGTTAACTCTGACCATTTTTGGCCAGTTTTCTCATTGCTTTTATAGAGGAAAGAATTTTTGGAGATCCTTTCTTTGTTGTTTTTGCCAGTACCCATGGCTTTGCATTGTGCATATCCCCATGGCCGCCTGCTTCTACCACTTGGGGAAAAGTAAAGGCTATAATAACCCCAGGCCAGGACTTCCCTGGTGGTGCAGTGGTTAAGAATCCACCTGCCAATGCAGGGGACACAGGTTTGAGCCCTGGTCTGGGAAGATCCCACATGCCGCGGAGCAACTAAGCCCATGTGCCACAACTACTGAGACTGCGCTCTAGAGCCTGTGAGCCAGAACTACTGAGCCTGTGTGCCACAACTACTGAAGCCCGCACGCCTAGAGCCCGTGCTCCGCAACAAGAGAAGCCACTGGAATGAGAAGACTGCACACTGCAACGAAGAGTAGCCCCCACTTGCCACAATCAGAGAAAAGTCTGCGCTCAGCAACAAAGACCCAATGCAGCCAAAAATAAACATTTTTTAAAAAAATGATAATAACCCCAGGCCATTAGGAAAATTCCTGCTGGCTGGAAAGGGCCCCAGCTCGACCTGAAAAGCTCACCTCTGTCAAAGATGAACAATCAAAGAGGAACCTGTGCAAAGATACTAGATGAAAAAGGGAGGAAAAAAGCAGGACAAACATGAACACTGAAAAACACTTAGAAAATTGTTACCGGAAAGCAGGTGAAAAAATCCCATCAGATATTTCATCTTCAATTTTTATAAAACCAACTCTTCCATGAAACCAGAGCCCTAGGATGAGAGTAAAAAGATGTATGAGCACTGCATAAAAAAGGAGCAAAATGTGAATTGGCAAAATAAGTGAAAGAAATAAGTGAAAGGAAGAAAATTAAAGCAACACAGAAGAGAAGATGAAATTGGAAAGTATCACAGGGAAAAGAGAGGCTGAGACACACAGAAGGGGGTTTAAAGGACCGGTCTTTGAAGAGTGAGCAAGATGAAATGAAAATACTTAAACAGGCTTAAAAGGAAATAATATACATGGCAAATGGGCAAGAGAGTATATACATATATATAAGTATACATACACACACACATATATATGTTATTGGCATCCCTAAGGAAGTAAATCCAAAGACGGACTTAAAAACAGAATCCTGGGACTTCCCTGGTGGCGCAGTGGTTAAGACTCCACACTCCCAATGCAGGGGGCCCGGGTTCAATCCCGGTCAGGGAACTAGATCCCACAAGCATGCTGAAACTAAGAGTTTGAATGCCACAACTAAGGAGCCAGCAAGCCGCAACTGAGGAGCCCTCGAGCTGCAACTAAGACCCGGTGCAAAAAAATAAATAAAAATAAATAAATAAAATAAATATTAAAAAAAAACCCAACAGAATTCTGACACGGCTTCTGGCAATGAGAAAACACATGAAACAAGTAGAAAGGCCAGGTCCCATTAAAAGGTGATATAAATGGTGAACATTTCCAATGCTGGCAAATTTGCTGGACTTCAAAGATAAGAATCCTTCAAACCAAAAAAAAAAACCAATCCTTTGAATCAACAGGCAAACAGATCACATCGCATCAGAAATATGGCAGGGCTCACATGACCCTACACCTATAGTCAGTGTTGGATGACAGTGGAGCCAGCGAGGCCTCAAAATGCAGGAAAAAGCAAACATTACCTAAGACATTTATACTCAGCGCAAACAGTTTTGTACATGCTCAAGGGCTATTGTTCTCAGGAGCCTTCCTGAGGAAAAGACTCAAAGGTGAAATTCAGCCACCAGAGAGGGAAAGTCAGAACAGAAGATATGGTGTAGCAGGTCTCCTGTGATGACCCGGCAGAGGACTCCTGCCTCTGTGTTCACTGCCCCATTTCATACCCCAGGTGGATCATTTTAACACCCCCTTCTCCATAAACAAAATTATTTTCAGTAATAATCATGTTCTAATCAGTAATCATTTTCTTGACTCATTCTTGTTTTAAAATAGCTATTAAAAAGAATAACTTCAAAATTTAAAAATATTCAATCAAGCAAAGTATTTCATGTACGAAAATTTGTGTTGACCAAAGAATATATACATATACACGCATGTGCGCACACACACACACACACACAACCTTGCAGTTTACACTCAATTTTGCCATTTAAAATTTTAAACACAAAATAAAAACTTTAATTGATCACATAAAGACTGACAGAATTAAAATTATACCAGTTCTGTTTTATAATTTTTACAACCACTATGCCACCATTGTTTACTTCATATTCACTAATTAAATGCAGGAATACACGGTACAGCTGGGGCTGGAGACACACAATACACCTGAAGTGAGCCTGAAGGATTTCAAACCTCTAGGTCCCTACTTTCCTAATGAATCTATGTAACTGAGTTTATATGGGTGTGTGTTGGGTCAGGGGGAGGTTTCCTACTATATCAATTGAGAGTTCTCCAAATTAGCTTCCATGTAGACTATAAAGCATAAATAATAAAAATGTGCTAATTTGAAGCACATGGTTTTTTACTGAAATTCAACAATGACCAAAGCAATTTTAACGAAAGATTTGGGGAGGGGTACATTTTACCACTAATATTGTTTAGGATTGCCAGTGCAAGGTTTTACAATAAAAAGCAGACAAGCTATTAGGTTTTATCATTGTAAAATTCTCTACATCTGTCTCATCAAGTTTACATTTTGCAACCTTGCTATGATCTAAGAAAGAAGTCACAGGTAGAAGAGTAAAAGTGGGCAGTCATTAAACAGGGAAAACAGTCCCTATTATATATTCAGGCTAGACCACCTACATCAACACAAGGTAGAATTAGAACAACAAATCTCCACAGACCATGCACTCCCTTAGTGCCAGCACCTGGGGCTGACATGCCCACTGCCCGCCCTAGTCCAGCGCTGGAATCTCCCCAGTCCTCCTCCTACCCTTGTTACTTGACCCTGGAAACTCATTGCTCCAGATCCCCAGCCAGGAGGGTACTCACGCTTGGAGGCGCTGCCCTCTGGGTCAGGTACAGACAGACACTGACACACGTGCGGTGGAGAAAGGTGTCCCGCTGGCTGCTCCAAAGATCCATGCAGGGGCAAGCAACAAAGCCCAGAAGACACTGGAACTGAAGACAACGGTGAATAAGGACATGAGCGTCATGGCCCAGCAGAGAAGCAACAAGACGCCGCCAAGAGAAAGCGGAACAAGACCTGAAATCAATGAGCCACAAGAGGTTCCACCTATCAGAAGAGGCCAGCAGTCTGATTGCCTACAAGCTGAAGGATATTGGTGCTTCAGAATTTGCAAATTGTCCCGGCCTGACAGCCAAGGAGAGGGCAACTGTTTTTGATCTAGAACCCGTGGTTTTCACCAGGCACCTGGGAGCCTATAATTATTATGCTTTATTGGGAATTGGGGCATTTGCCATTTTCTTCCAGGGAACTTTCTTTTCCGTCAAGAGTAGAAGATATCAGAGGACTGAACAACGGGCTCCGCAGAAATCTTTTTCTTAATAATAAAATAAGTTATTTCAAAACGTCAATTTATGACCAAAAGAGCAAAACAGCTATGATCTCTTTTGAAGAAAATAATGTACAAAAGGAGAATTCACCTGAAGAGGTGCCTGGGCTTTACAACGCACTCTTCTACAAGGCTTGAGGATCTGGATCAAATGCAGGGGGTAAAATCTGCTTGTCTGTGGGCTGGGGTGTGGGGTGGAGGGGGCAGGGTGGACGGGCGGGGGAGGAGGAGCTGAGGGAAAAGAGAATGTAAAGGAGATAGGGGAAGCTTGTAACAAGGAATTTGGTATAACTTTAGGAAGAAAAAGAAAAGCCCTTAAAGAAACAAAACCGATTAGAAAGAAGATGAAGTCTGAATGCCTTCAAATTCTGGAGAAGAAAAATACCGGATTTAAGAAGAGCACGGCGCAGTTATCATGGGAAGCTTCAGATGAGAGCAACATTCCAAGCCTTCCGCCGACTCCAGAAGACTTCGTGCAAGAGCGCTCCCTACTGGCCACACGGTGCAATCACAGGGGGGCTCTAAAACCTCGGACTCTAGGTCCCACCCACTTCCAGAGAGCCTCACTTAATGGGTCTTAGGTGTGGCCTGATTGTTGGGATTTACAACTCCCCAGGTGATTCTAGTGAGCAGCCAGGATTGACAACCAGAAACTCTGACTTCTGAAAAAGAAAGAAATTGAAATTTTGGATAATTGCATTATACAGCTGACAATGACAGGATGACAATGCCTTAAAGCTGGAAAAGGCCATGAACAAAATTCTGGTTAAAAAATACTGTACTTGAGCTGGAAAAAACTCAAATGTTCATCAACAGGAGAATGGATAATCAATCTGCTCTATTCACACACTAGGATACCACTCTGATAAAAAAGGAACAATCTTATATGGGCACCAAGGATACATCTCAAAAACATTATGCTATGCTGAGTGAAAAAAAAAATCAGACACAAAAGAACACTTCCTATATGGTTTTGACTATGTGAAGTCCAAGAACAGGCAAGATTAATCTGTGGTGACAGAAATCAGAACAGTGGTTGCCCCTGGGGAGCAGAGGTGGGAATTGACTGGGAAAAGCCACAAGACAGAATGTTCTCTATGTTTTTTTGAGTGGTGGCTACACAGGTGCATACATTGTCAAAATTCATCAAACTGGACACTTAATATCAGAGTATTTTTTGCATGTAAATTACACTCAATTTTTTAAAAAGAGTCCTGTACTTTAAAAAGTGACCATTTCTAATCAAACTGAGTGATGAGGTGTAAGCCTGACAAGAGCTATAGTCTGTCACAGAGATGGTGGAGCAGAAATGCAGAACTTTGCAGCATAGATCAGACACCTTTAAGTACTGCATCAGCAGAGAAAGGAGCTTGGCAGGAGAAGCTGGCTTGAGAAAGAATGAATGGGGGAATTCCCTGGCAGTCCAGTGGTTAGGACTTGGCACTTTCACTGCCGTGAGCTAGGTTCAATTCCTGGTCAGGGAACTAAGATCCCACAAGCTGCCAAAAAAAAAAAAGAAAGAAAGAAAGCATGAACGAACAGGAGGAGAGCAGAAGCTCTTACCTACAGAGGAAGCAAAAAACTTCTAAGCAAAAAATTCAAGAACGGGAAGGCAAATTACAGAAAGGAGAGAGGGAGAGAGAATGATCAGTCTAATAAAAACTAGACTACTCTTCATGATCAGAAAGTTCATGATGATCCAAGAGCTGCTGTTGCTGCCAAGAGAGCTCTTGCTGGAGAGAAGAAGCAAGCAGCCAGCCTGCAACAGAAATTAATATAAGTAAAACCAAAGACAGCAATGCTTCAAATAACAGTGACTATAAAACCAATTCTAGAAAGATGGGATCATAAAATAATACTATCGAGAGGTCCTCTAAGCCACACATGGGCAAACTTTTCCCAGTAATGGGCCAGATAGTAAATATCTCAGGCTGTGCAGGACATAGGGTCTCTGTCACAAATACTCAACACTGCCATCATAGCATGAAAGTAGCCATAGACAATACATAAATGAATGAAGGTGCCTATGTTCCAGTAAAACTCTATCTACAAAAACACATCACAGATCTTTGAAAGACAGGCCACAATGGCTGACTCCCTTCCAGTCAAAAGAGAGTACGAGGGACTTCCCTGGTGGCACAGTGGTTAAGAATCCGCCTGCCAATGCAGGGGACACGGGTTCGAGCCCTGGTCTGGGAAGATCCCACATGCTGCAGAGCAACTAAGCCTGTGCACCACAACTACTGAGCCTGCACTCTAGAGCCTGCGAGCCACAACTACTGAGCCCACATGCCACAACTACTGAAGCCCGCGTGCCTAGAGCCTCTGTTCCACAAGAGAAGCTACTGCAATGAGAAGCCCACTCACCACAACAAAGAGTAGCCCCTGCTCGCCACAACTAGAGAAAGCCCACACACAGCAACGAAAACCCAATGCAGCCAAAATATATTTATTTATTTAAAAGAGAGAGAGAGAGTAGGAAAGGAGAAAGGGGCAGCACAACTCGGAGTTGCACACATCACTTTCATTCACATTCAGTGACCAGAACTTAATCCTTGGGCCACAGCAAGCTCCAAGGAAGGCTGGAAGTGTGGTCTACACCATGAACAGCCATGTGTCTATCAAGAATCAGGCATCTGACACCCAAAAAACTAGTAGAGCTAATAAACTAGTTCAGCAAAGTTGCAGGATACAAGACCAATATACAAAAATCGGTTGTATTTCTAAACACTTAGCAATGAACAATCCAAAAATGAAAACGAAATTAAGAAAACAATTCCACTCACAAAAGCAACAAAAAGGATAAAATACATAGGAGTAAATTTAACAAAAGCAGTACAAGACTTGTATGCTAAAAACTACAAAACATCGTTGAAAGAAATTAAAAACCTAAATAAATGGAAAGACACCCTGTGTTCATGGATTGGAAGATTTAGTATTGTTAAGATGTCAATACTCCCCAAATTAGTCTACAATTCAATGCAATTCCTATCAAAATTTCAACTGTCTTTTTTATAGAAATGAATAAGCTGATCTTAAAATTCATATGGAATTGCAAGGGATTCTGAATAGCCAAAATAATTATGAAAAGGAACAAATTTGGAGGACTCATAGTTCTGCTTTCAAAATTCACTACAAGGCTACAGTAATGAAGACTATGTGTTACTAACATAAGGATAGACATAGAGATAAAACAGAACTGACAGCCCAGAAATAAACCCATACATCTATGGTCAGTTGATTTTTGACAAGGATACCAAGACCATTCACTGAGGAAAAAGTAGTCTTTTCAACAAATGGTACTGGTTCAACTGGATAGTCACATGCAAAAGAGTAAAGTTGGACCCTTACCTCACACCATATATAAAAATCAACTCAAAGCAGATCAAAGATCTAAACATGGGAGCTAAAACTATAAAACTATTACAAGACAACACAGGGATAAATCTTCATGACCTCGGATAAAGCAATACACACACTTATACGCACAGAATCTCAATATCTCTGGAAGATAACAAGAATCCACTGGTAATAGTAGCTGCATCTAAGGAGGGAAACTGGATAACTGGGGAATGGAAAGAGGGGGAATTACTTTCAAAGGCATATTCATTTTTACCTTTTAAATGTTCTACCATGTGTTTATAACATCTATTCAAAAAATACAATTTAATTTAAAAGAAACAAAAAAACAGATGGCAGGCTGGATTTGGCCTGAGGGGTTGCCTAGCCGTGCTCTACATCAAAATGGCTTAACATAATGGGAAAATTCACTCCCTTCTGTGTTTCCTTTACTGCTCACATTACTCTACTACAAAACCACTGCACTTCTGACACCAGATGTGTGGGTATTCTCCACGCATTCAAGCAATTCTGTGATGTCAGCTGGGTGTACTACAGTTTAACTCGATTTTACACTATCTATCTGGAGATTATGTCAGATCCCACAGGTTAAGGGCTCAGTCCACAAGACTGCCCACTACCCCGACTTCAGATGGATGCCAATCAAAAGTCCAGGTTGTCTCTTGCACTCCTGACCAATGAACTATAAATCCCCCTCCTCAGTTTCAATTAATTTGCTAGAGTGGCTCACGGAACTCAGGAAAACGTTTACTTGCTAGATTATCAGTTTATTATAAAAGGATAGAACTCAGGAACAGCCAGATGGGAGAGATGCAGAGGGTAAGGTATGTAGGAATGGGGGTGGAGCTTCCATGCCCTCTGAGCACGCCACTCTCCCAGCACCCCCTGAATCGTGTCCTTTTGGGTTTTTAAGGAAGCTATGTTACGTAGGCATGATGGATTGAATCATTGTCCATTGATGATTGAACTCAATCTCCAGCCCCTTGCCCCTTCCCAAAGAGGAGCTGAAAGTTCCAACCCTCTAATCAGTGATTGGTTCCCCTGGTAACCAGCCCCCATCCTTTGGGGCTTTCCAAAAGCCACCTCATTAACACAAAGCAACTGTGATTGAAACAGGTTTGTTATGAATAAATAACAAAACACTCTTTTTGCCGTTATGGCTCTGAAGGTGTTTCAGAAACTGAGGACAAAAGACAAAATACTGTGACAAAAAATTCTCCCACTGCACTTATTTAGGAAAT